TATGAGACAATCGTCTCATAGATGGCGGTAAAATTATCAGCCTTACTCGCCGGCCGCCCTTTATACCCCAGGAAGATTCGTGGTACTTATTTCCGTTAGAGGCTGAGTCGACCCCAGGACCATAATGTGGCTGGAAGGGTTAGATCAATTGAAAATTCCATCTCATCGGGACTTGAATCCGCGACCTTGCGGCTTGTAGCATAGCGCCTCACTCAACTACGCTACCGTGGAAATACAGCTTCACCATTCCTGATCTCGGCACTTGATGGAGGTGATGGGTTAACTTCGCGTCAGTGCCGCTTTACCCCCGAGACGGGAGCCCACGGTACCCATTCAATAGGTGGTTCGGTGGGCCCCCAAACCCGGTCTTCACCCTGTGGATTTGAGAAATATCTCTTGGCTTTGCAGAGAATTGAAACCTGGCCGCCCAGTCCATAAAATGTCACTTTACTAAGTGCGCCATCCGGAATCCTCGGGATAGGTTTCAGGTCCGAAATTTTGCCAAAAGTAATGACTATGTGGTTCATTAAGTGCGAGGGCTTCATTCACCAGTTGGGCAACTACACATTAATTTGTCAAGTATTACTGGTTTAGATGGTTACGGGCTAGTTACCGTTGTCCACGAAGCAGCTTCCCCCAGCCCGAAATTTTGCAACACGTGCACCAGATAGGGTTTGATAGATGAGAGGCCGCCCCAGTGTAGCAAGAAGAAGCAGGGGTTCACAATCCCTAGGGGACGCAAGGTCTGAGGCTTCAGCATCTCCTTCCATCTGTCGAGGCTACAGTGCGCGCTGTTGTCATCGTCACTGAAATTAAATCCATTACAGCAGAATACATACAGTAATGCAGTCAATGCAGTTCGCGTTCCAGGGGTATTTTTGTGGAATTTATGTCCAGATTTAACCCCTTAAGTGCTGACTGACTGCTAAATTGTTGATGGCCCTCGCCAGCACTATGATTCTTGGTTCCGAGTCCCACGTGACTCAAGACCTTACTTTAAGTTTAAGGTCTTTCATTCTGGTCCGTCACACTAACAAATTAACAATCAAGTTCCTTCCGTCAAATGTGACACTTTTTTAAGTTTTCCACCTCGTCACCACCTGCCTTACATGTTTTGTCTCACAACACACAGACAAGCAACATCAACTACCTACAGACAACACACGTCAGCAACACCCCGAAGCAAAAAGATTGGGCCAAGCGGGAAAGAATTCTAGGAATTTTAAGAATTCTTACTTCAAATAATGAAACATAATTTTACAGAAGTAACGACGAACAAATAAGAAAGCTACTGTGGTGTGTGAAAAACTTTTAGTGAACCGATACTCTGGGTAATTTTAACTATTTGTAATTATTTTAATTAACTGGAACGTGGTTATCTTTGACAAAGTGAAGTTTTGTGTGTTGGTGATTTCTTTTTCTACTATAAATGCCTCTGATGATGGCCCCGTGGTGAGCCGAAACATGTAAGGCAGGTGGTGACGAGGTGGAAAACTTAAAAAAGTGTCACATTTGACGGAAGGAACTTGATTGTTAACCTTACTTTAAAGTCTGACGACTCTGGGAGCCCTCTTTAAATACTAAATTTCTTCTAAATGATATGCACAAAATCAGTTCGTACGTCAGAAGAAACACATTATGTCTCCACTACAAAGAACATCCGGTTGATACTGTTTAGGAAACAATTGCTGTTTATTGCGAGAATCATATGAAACACATAAATACACTCTGTACGCAGAATGTACGCGTAGGGTTTCAGTGTGTCAAAGCGTGTGATACACAGAGTAACCACTGGGTTCTGAAGGGTTAAACAAGAGTGCCAATTGAATGAAATGTTTCTATTTAGCACTGCGACTTAATGCAAAGAATAAACTGTCAGTAACACAACCAGCTTTGTTGATCTTTAAGTGTTATTGAGTAAAAACTTTTTCGAAACCAAAAGACCCGATTCAATTGGATAAACTTTACTTGCTGTGCTGCCAGGATAGTTAATAAAAATAACAAGAGATAAACAATTACGTTATTTTCTTTGATGTTTCATTGTTTCAGCTCATACTCACCGTAGCTCGCTCTGGTAGTCCGACATCGTAGCTTTACTCTGCTGTACGTCGCCCGTTGCTGTAGAATCGAGTTCGAATCCTTTATTCTCGTAACCTTCAGTTATTCTGGGACTTCTCCCTTCTTGAGTTCTAGACTAAATTAAAGGCTCCATCAGGAAAGTACAAATATAACGACACTGATTTAAGATATAAAGTTGTAAGAGGACAACTGAACACACCTCTCTCTCAGTGCCAAAATACAGGTTCTGCTACATTCATTCAATCCTCATGATTCTGAAGGAGAGTTACCTCTTCAAACGACAGATTTGTTGTTACAAATGGCCCATTCTAGCAGAAAATTTTCCTCCGTACACCCGATGACGGAAAGATAAATTTTCCAGAACTTTGTGGCTTAAAAACACTCAAGGCATTCCTTTCTTTTGCTTTGAAATTATATGAACTACTCATGACTGTCAATGTGAACAAATTTTTAACGTTATTTTTAAAAATTATAAACTAATTGCTTAAGTCTTTAGCAGTAGAAAGCTTCAGTTGTCACAAAAGAATATAAAACAAACACAAATTTTTTCTTTCAAAAATTTAACTTTCATGTAGATCATTTTTTATAAAATTACTACAAATTTTAAAACTCAATTAATTGAATGGATATATTTTAAAAGTATATGTGATTCCGTATAATAGTACCTGAAATAAGAAGCAATAATTTCATGAAACAGTCACGCCTTCGTCAGTTTATTTTCTACTGCACCAAAAAGTGTCATATAAGGCGTAACTTCTTTGACTCCTGTGCAAAGAAGAAATGAAGCAAAATTTCTGTTCATATGTAAAGGTAACGTTGTCCCTGTCCTTAACTAATTAAGCACTACGCCATGAAGGCGTATGGGGAAGCGGATGTATAGATCCACATTTTCTAGGATTCGGAAATAGTTGGAGGTGAGTGGTTAGCTTCACGCCACGGCCACCTTAAGCTCTGGGAAATAGCCCCCCTGTACCCACTGGATAGGAGGCTGGGTGGGCCCCAGAGTCGGTCTGGATTACATAGAGAAGTAAAGATTCTTTTTCCCGCCGAGACTAGAACTCCAAACCCTCGGTCATCCAGCCCGTAGCCAATCGCTATACCGACTGTGCGCTATCCCAGGGAACTGTTGTAAACCATACGACATTCGTTTCTGAAGCGACGAACTAACTTCTTGATTTTCTTTCCGTTAGTTAATTATCGACCCCTTAAGAACTGAAACTATGTAGCGTCAGTAGTTTCATATTAATACCGATTTAATAAGAAACTCAGATAATAATAGATAATATTTTAAATATCTAGTTAATTTAAAATACTTCTAAATGCAAATTTCTAGGATATTTTTAATTGACTTCCGGGCTAGGCAACCTGTTCAGGTCCAGGTATCGGGGGCCGGGAAGCTTCTCTTTGGCTCACGTTTATGACATCTTGTGAGTATTTACATTATGAAAACTTTCTCGAAGGAAATATTTCAATTATTTGCTACAAAAATCGGTCATGTGCAGAGGAAAATGTTTCATGTCTGCCGTACCAAACGAAGCCCATTATGATATTCTGCAGGTGTAACTCTGAGTTACTGAACGTTAGCACAGGATGTGCATCACGTAGATTCACGAGCATGGACACTCACCGTTACGGGGCCAACAGTGGTGACTGGAAAGTTCGTCTTGTTCACTGCGTTACTGTACATAACAAGCTGGTTGAACTCTTCACTGACGACGTCCGGTGTCACCCAACCCCGAAGCCAGCATAGGGCCTTCTCGGCGTCCTCATACCGGCCACGTGACAGCAGCCATATTGGCGTCTCGGGCATCTGTTAGTCATTCACAGAAGTTCCACATTTAGTTACATTCATGTTCTGTTTGGTTGATGTTTCGGGCCAAATAGTTGCCCTATATATCAGAATTCAGTTCCCCCTCGAACAGGACCGTCCGGCTGCATTTGAGGCTCTCCTGCAATAATAGATTTAAGCGCCTCTTTCCTTTTTATTTGGTTATCACTAACAATGTTATTGTCGAGACTGTGCATAGTAGCACAGCCCTTTACGCCATCGATTGAATCTAAATGTGTTTTTTTTCTTCTTCTTCCTTCACCCCCCTCTCCTATACTTGAACAAATCCAATATGTGACGAGTTTTTCAGTAAGTCGCTGCTTTTTCTTGTGTGTGACATTAAGGGAGTAAAATGTTGTAGCATGTAGACCCGTTGCTAAGTAACGACTCTGTAAAAAAACCTTCTCTTAGGTAACAAGTTCCTAACAAGCAACATTTGAACGGCAATAGAAGAACAGTGTTTTCTGTACGGTTCGTGCCGGGATGTTACAAGCAGGACAATTAATTTCAGAAAAAGATTTATGGTGGACAAAGTGGCACTGGGGTACGTTTCCTCCGAGTACCTCGGTTTCCCCTGTCAATTCTCATTCCACCGACTGCTCCATACTCAACATCTGTCATCCGTGGCTGGAACAATGTGCCGGTTAGGTGCCGACATACCAAGTGTACTCATTCTCAGTCCACTATGAATAAATATAATAGCCATGTACACCTATGCTACATGTGCGATACGGTTATTTGGCAAGGGCGTTCCCTGTTCGTAAGAGTCAAACCCATCTTCTCGTCAAAGAAGGTGTTGCATGAGGGCTAAGACTGCAAGTGTTCAGTTGCAAAAAAAAAGTCTGGTCATGAGCCTCAAGGGACTTGCCGCCAAAACGAACTGATTGGCGATAAACAACCAGTCGTGAAGTAAATTTGACTGAGTGCAATGCATTGCAGAGAAATGAAGAGTTGGTTGGTGAGTTAGTGGGTTATTCTGAGAACTACAGTTAAGTCATTGTGAGCTGTTGCTCATCTGGTAGCTGAGGCACGGGGGTAATGCGGGAACCAGAGTAAGGGGAACGTCCCCTTCACTTCCTTCTGACACGTGTTTTGGCAGTCCGGATGGCACAAACATTTTCCTTGCAATTTTTTTTAGCTTAAATCAACTGTCCTTGTTGCTTATAAGATAGAAAGAGAGAGAGAGAGGGCTGATGAAAGGATGTGAGAAGGGAGATGTAAAGGAGAAAGAAAGAGACAGATAGGTAGGAAAAATGAAGAGAGATAGAAGGAGGAAAAAAGTAACAGAAACAGGAACTTTTCTTTAAAATTTTATCCCAATATACAGGATGTGTGTTATTGTGGTGAGTGTTCACTAAACGTGTATGGTTCTTGAAGTTAATCACATGACCAATACTTTACCATCAGCGTGTATAGCACGGTGATAATTGGCAACGCGGCGTTCATTCCCGCGGCAGTCCTCCAGTCTGTGATATTGCCCATGAGGAAAACCACGAACACGCTGATCTGACACGTTATACCTGCGGAATATCATCACTACAACATCAAATATGTTCACGTAAATGGATAGGCCTAATTATACACATGTAGCTCAGAGATCTGTCACTGTGAAAGTGTTCCACTACATGTCAGTAGCTACACATAAACTCAAAAGTTCATACTGTCACCACCATGATCGTGACTACCAATAAAACAGCTTCAAATTTAATACAAAACATTTAGCTGTATATAAACAATATCGATAAGGAATTTCGTATGTTTAGATACAGAATTTCAACAGTTTTTCGTGATAATGAAAATTAAATAATGGTTTATTTCAGCAGCAAAGTATAAATATTGTCACGCGTTAATGACTACACACGATATTTGTGCTGGTGATTGGATTTATTAAACATTTATAAACAGTACTACAAATAATTATAACACTTCCGCTAATCTATACGCTTTAGAATTTACTGTTGCACACATCAACACTTTTCAGTTTCTCTTTACTAGTAGCTGCCTGGCAACAGCTTCCAACAATATAGATTCATCAGCTTCCTTTCTCACGGCTCCTGCCCTCGCTGGCTGGCGACTCCTTCATCTAACACATGGCGGCAGCTCCATCACATCCTCAAATGCAACTCTCAATTGACTTGATGCTGTAGCTACATAGCCGTGGGGTAGGCCCAGCAGAAAACACTGTTTCCAACGCTTCTCTATTATGGTGCCACGTGTTCATTTCCGAAGAAATGTGTTTATCGGCCATTATCTAGAAACAGCCGTATCTACTAGCTCACTATTCTGGTTACCAGCCGTTATGCCACAATATCTCCAAGGTATAGTTAAGGTAAATTTGTTCCTGTTCTTAACTTATTCAGCACTAAGCCACGAAGTATATGGGTTAGCTGATGTATAGATCCACGTTTTCTTGAACTAGGCCCTAGTTGGATGTGAGTGGTCAGCGACACGCCCCTGCCGCTTTAACCCCGAGGAAAGAGACCCCGGTACCCATTGATTAGGAGCCAGGGTGGGCCCCCTGAGCCGGTCTGGATAACGTGGAGAAGAAAAAATCTTGATCCTACCGGGACTCGAATTCCAACCCATCGGTCGCCCAGCTCGTAGCCGGTCTCTATACCGACTGTGCTATCTCGGCTCATTAATTAAGCACTACGCCATGAAGGCGTATGTGGGAGTGGATTTATAGATCCACATTTTCTTGACCTCGGCACTAGATGGAGGTGAATGGTGAGATTCACGCCCCGGGGGAAGAGCCCCCGGTACACATTGGACAGGAGACTGGGTGGGCCCCAGAGCCGGTCTGGACGACGTGGAGAAGAGAAAACTCTTGAAACTACCGGGAGTTGAACCCCAACTCCTCGGTCGTCCAGCCCGTAGCCAGTCGCTATCCCAGCTCCTCAATATCCCTAGTAATGCCTCGAACTCCGGACAGCTTCTGTTGGACCACATTAATTACATAAATAGTAGAGATAACAGGCGCATAAAGATGAGGAATACGCACCGGGAAACGAAGTGATAAGCGCTCTAAGGTGCGGCTGGCAGGTCTCACCCAGGTATGTCATAATGGGAGCCTCCATGAAGCCAATGCCCATGCCAAGGATAATGTTGGCAGTGAAGAGCGTGGTGATGGAAGTGGAGAAGCAGTAGAGAAGCCAGCCCGCTAAGAACGGGATATTCACCAGGATCATGGACCACTTTCGGCCGAAGAACTCCACGATGAGCCCTGATATCAGGCTTCCTATTGGCTGGCAGATGAATGCGATGCTTCCTGCAGTAAATCGAATAAAATTTGGAGCTCAGACTCTAGGCCTAATCATGGCGACTAAAGGTGGTAAATGGATTCTCTATTCCTTGCAACAAGAGACAAGGGCCTGAAAGATCATTGTGTTTAGGGCGATTAGAATATTTGCATATGCGTAAGCAAATTCAGACGTATATAAAAACGATGGGCCAATACTACATTGTCTGGTTATGAAACTCTTATATATGAAAGCTGTTTCAGACGAAGCTGCTAAGAAAACGGAGATTGAATGATATCCTGTGGTTACAAAAGTTACGTTCTGGCACATTTATCTATCTATGGCTGTATAGCCCTTGTGGACCTTGGCCGCTTTTCAGTTTCCTAATCTGTACATAGTCGGTAGGACCCATTGGAAGGGGAATCAACCCATCGCAAGGCCGCTACCTACACACAGAACAACACAAATACAGAATTAACGCACACAAATACTCATGCCTCGAGTGGGAGTCAAAACCACGAACCCAGTGTTCGAGCAGGCGAAGACGGATCATGTCTCAGACCGCGCGCCCGCTGTGGTCGGTTCTCTGGCACATGAAGACTACAAATACATGCTTCCTCTATCTTAAGACACCAAATTGAAATATGTCCCACCATCTATTTTCTGTTCCTATTTCTATTTTTATTGGGTTTACTTATACTTTTACTCTACATGTTTTTTCCAATTGTGTTATACCATCTCGGCACTGGAGCCGTCGACACAAAAATGAAGTAAATTTTATCTTTATGAAATGTATTTATATCAATAAATGTATCAATAATTTAATCTTGGTTTTGCCTCATTCAGCCACTCTACCTTTCGGTCGCATGGACCATCATGCCATGGTTTGTAAATAAATATATAAAATATATTATTATTGAATTACATGTTTAAATACAAGAATATTTAAAAAGAAAAACGTCGTAATAAATTCTTCTGTTAACTGATAAAATATAAATTTGATTTGTTTCATTTTGGTCCGTCACACTAACAGTTACAATTATAAAAGACAAGTCCGTCCAATGTGACTATTTCAGTTATCTCACTTGTTGATTCACTAGCCTTACATGTTTATAAGTTTATAATTGTGATAAAATATAAATTATAATAATTTTATTAAATATTTAATAAGTTTAAAATACGAGGGATGAAGTAATGTGGGACTCGGTAATTCTGCCGTACGAAGTGTCTATGTGTACACTGACAAGGTCAATGCAGTATTTGTTGATAGTTTAATATGTTACATATATTTTTTAATTACTTGTGGTGGGGTGAGACTGTTCACTTGGTACGTCGGCCACTGTTTGGCCAATTGCACGAGCCCCGGATGCTAGGTGTTGATGGGTGTGGAGCAGTCGTTGGAATGAGAATTGGCGGGAGAACCCGAAGTACTCGGAGTAAACCTACCCCAGTGTCACTTTGGCCACCACAAATCCCACATAATTTGTACTGGCCTCGAACTCGGGCCTACTTGGGAAGCCAGCGACTAACCATCTGAGCTATAACACGGCCAACATCTATACTCTTCTGGAAACTCGTTGAAGTAGTGTGCGTATTCATTCATTCTAAATGTCTTTACAGCCCTTTGTTGGTCCGTGACCTCTTTTTCAGTTTCGTAATCTTTTCTTTACGCAGACGGTAGGAATTCTTGGACGAGTGATCAGCCGGTCGCGAGGCCGCTACCTACACACAGGACAACACAAACACGGAATACACGCACACAGACATCCATGGCTTGAGTGCTATTCGAACCCACGATTCAAGCGTTCGAGAGATCGAAGACAGTACACGCATGCCTTAGACCATGCGGCCACTGTGATCGGCAGTGTACTTCTGTAGTCTATACTTTGGTTACAAAAATTATCAATATATTACCCAGCCATGACGCCTGATTCTCGTTGATACTGAGGTCTTCCTTGGCATCAAGTGTAGCTGCAATGAGAACTGTTGTGAAGGCGATAGCCATGCAGAGGTCAAGTACTAGCAGGTTGGCAGCAACGTTCGCCAGGATCTACAAGAACAGGACGGCTGTAGCAGTACCTAAAGTCGACTTAGCATCGTTAGTTGTGTCGATGCGGTCTGCATGAGACATGAATAATCATTTAAATAAAGAAGATATCTGCAGCTAAAACCAGTATTACTATATATAAAAGTGAACTGTACTGTGTAATGTGAATGCTGTATTACGGAGGAGCAAAGTTCGGCCCGACAATATTTAGAAACCGGCCCGTCGCGATTCGAGTAATTCAAGTTCAGTGAAAGTTACTTTGCTGCTTGTTATCTCTGTTTTAATTTGTTGTTGGTAAAATTCAAATTGAAGTTCATGGAGGTAGGCCTAGGCCCACTGGAGCTGTAGTGCTAAGGAAAAAAAAAATTCAAATTGAATTTTATGTTGACATTATTGATCTATTAATTGCTGCACTGGTTTCAGAGAAATTCAAAAGAGTAGTATTTCAGTTTCTAATTCATACCTTAATAGCTGGGCAAATCCAGAATTAAAGGATTTTCATCAAAGAATGTTTGTGTTTAGTTATGTATCTGTAAGTTAAATTTGTCCTTCTGCTTAACCAATTAAGCAGTACACCATGAAGGCTTATGTGGGAGTGATATATACGAGTAGATCCATATTTTCCTTGACCTTGGTACTAGATGGGGGTGAGTGATTAGCTTCACGCCCCTACCGCTTTACCCCTTGGGAAAGAGCCCCCGGTACCTTTGGATAGGAGGCTGGGTGGGCCTCAGAGCCGGTCTGGACAGCGTGGAGGACAGAAAATTCTTGACCCTACCGGGACTCAAACTCCGAACCCTCTGTCGTTCAGCCTGTAGCCAATCGCTATACCGACTACGCTATCTCGGCTTCTAAATATATAGTTGTAGTGTGTTAAACGACGCTGTTAGTAACACGGGATATATAGCAGCTCTTGTGCCATACTGGAGAAGAATTTACAGGAAGGATGTACACTGAAGCGGTCGTGGCCTGTAGGGTCTGAGGAGAATCCATGAAAAACAGCCAAGGTAGCTTGTGTCCCGGTAGAAATTGAATACAAGTGTAGAATGTTACCACTAGAACAGGCTGCTTAGTTTAAACTGTTAGATAGTAATGTACGAGTATTGTATCTTCTTTCATGTGTTCTGCATCCTGCTGACTGCGTCACTACTATGTAAATATGTCCGTCGATCACAACAGATGTCACGAGTTAGGTGTGTGACTATAGACGGGATTTGGAATGGTGAATGGACCACTTACACACACGACTAGGAACTACAAGCATTTAGAGTGCTATCGCTGGTCTACATATTTTGCAAATCACTAGACCACATGATACATCTTCTCAGTCTGCTTTCACTTGCCGTTTCCTGGCAACGGATCTTATTCTTCAGTTTCTGTGGTCACGCCGTTGCCCGCTAACACTCAAAAACTGAACTGTCAATTTAATTATAGCGCCATCTTATCGCAGCCTCCCTTGCAGAACTAATCTGACTCACTGTCAGAACTAGAGTCAGAGTTATTTTACGACTGGCGGGTCTACACGCTACAATGCTTTTGTTAAATAACCGATAGACACAAATTGTCGATAAAATCATTTAGTTTATTATGATGTTTTATCAACAATTTGAGTCTATCAATTATTTATTAAAAGTACAAAACTCTTATGATTGAGGGTCATATTTGCGTAGAATGAATATTGTGTGTGTTTCAGCTTCATGTTGTGTGCGAACAACTTCTTGTTGGTTCGGGAACCAATAATAAGCTGTTAACCAGTTTTACGAATTCGAATGAATAACGTAAGATAGGAAGTAGGTAAGCCCTCTTCTGCCATGTAAAAGGTAGCAGGAGATTTCTCTGAAACATTGGTAATTATCTACTAGACTACTTCATGTCTCAGAAGTCAGTGATATTCGTAGTCACGGAATTTAGAACCTCAAGTTTGGCGGCTGTACAATAATACGTGATACAGTGTTGTGTGATATGCTACATTACACTTCAGGGCGCCAGTCGCTCCGCCTGGTGGAGAGCGACCGACGCTGCTCTAACCTGTGGCAATTTGATTCTGAAACTGCTAAATGCGAAGGAGCCCTTCTTGCTGTTCCCCAGGTCAAATTCTTGTCTCCTGAAAAAGAGAGCATTCGTTTAATTATTCTGAACTTTCTTTGCCAAACATTAAAATCCTTCTAGAACAAGGAGTGCTGGGAAGAAATAATCGCCTATTTTCCTTTCCAATGATAAGGACCGCATCGAAAACGACGCATCTAACAATTTTTCGTTGCCGCGCGAACGTGTTTATCGAGCAATTGCATGACACCGAGAGGAAGGATATAATTCACCGAGCCGTTGCCTTGCATCGGTATGAGAGAAACACATACAAACACGTAGACTGATGGGAGGGATTTATGAAGTACGCCGTTGAGATTGATTCAGTTACCATCACATATATACCAAGCTTCGTAAATATTGGTTAAGGTATTCAAAATTTGATAGAGGGATACACAGATGTCATGGTGATCTCGTAAGATTAATTTTATTACTTTCAAAATAAGGAATATAAGTTAAAAATAATTACGTAATTACCTTTCAATATCTAAACTGAACAACTATAGCTGTCACCTCTGATGAAATAATATTGAAGATTAGGCATTATCATCAAGATCATCAACACGACTATCTATCATTTAACGTGTTGTATTAATCCACTACAAGTTTCGACCCTACTATTTGGCGATACTGTACCTAAACTTTAATTAAGAATTATCAGGCCGTATATCTTATTGAACACGGATCCTTTGTCCATAAGTTTACTTCTGATCTGTTATCCAGACCACTAATATCTCACAGTCAAACAGAAAAATGTTTAAATATAAAATTATTAAAAATTAAAACAAAAGTAAGATGTGAGCAGGCCTCACCAGTACCACAAGTAAGCATACAGCGTGGCAGCATTTCATATGGGGATGCCTTCCTGAATACTTCGCATAATTCAAGACAAGTTTTGAAACACATGAGTGTGCGGGGATTCGCATTATTTTAAATTTTGCGCATAAAGGGAGACTACATTAATATATTTGTTATTTCGAACTCTTTAAAATTCGCATAAAATGCTACCGCACTATACCACAAAGCGATTCTGGCAGCTTAGATAACCGGGGCAACTCGTACTTTTCGTTGTCAGTCCTCATCATCTACCCTGAAATCTATTCAGTCACGTGATAGAAAGGAATCAGCATGAATGAGGCAGCAACTGGCTGTCCTTGCGATACTGCAACTCTTTCCGGCAGTGCAGGGTCGAATATTCCATTGCACATGCGCGTAAATACCCGCGGTGCCTATGTCTACACTGCTGTCTTGTTAAAATATGATTATGCTTCTTGGTGCTGAGTCTGATTTCCGTAAATATGCATGATACAAGCAACATGTCTTTATCTATCACAGTTCACCTTTCTGGGTATAACAGGGTTTTCCTACTGCGAAAACTTCATACTGCCCACTCACGTTTGTATAGAAAGACCTCGAAAAATATTTATTTTAGAAAGGCGATTCTTAGAACAGCCATTTTTAAATCTGGTTCAGTTACGGTACTTGTCTTTAAATGTCCATGTTTCAGACAGGTACTTGACATATTTAATTTAAACGAAAAATGAAGGTAGATTCCACAGGGTTCTGACGATAGGGCATTACACTCAAAATCACTGGGCTCTTGGCCTTTGTCTATCGTCCGGTATTCTAGAAACTAGAAAAAATAAAACGTTTCGGAAACTGGATCTGTTGCCGTCCTCAGGCGAGGGGAAATGGAAGTTTGTGGCATAAATTCTTACTTTTTTTTGTATCCTAGTTCCACGCATGTGCGTGCTCTATCACAATTTTTATTGCATAATTTCCTGTTATCTCCTTCCGAATTAGCCAGGTCTCATTTAGTTAAATAGCTATAGTGAATCTCACAGTGGTTGTCCAGTGGTTGAGGTTGGCTCTTTCTAAGGAACCCAACAGAGTACGTGTCTCCCACCCCCACCTGAGGGCGGAAACAGATCCAGTTTCCGAAACGTGTTTTTTAATTTTTAGAAAACCAGACAATGGATAAAGTCCAAAACTCCGGCGATTCTGTAAATAAAGGAATATCAACAAAGATACTTTCAGCATATATCTGAAATGTCTCCGTATCTTGTACCCAGAAGAACGCCTGACTGCAAGCCACAGGAATAAAGAGAATGAGGGAGGCTTCTGTTAAGATGGAGGTATCGGTTCAAGGAGAAATGAGATTGGAAGACGCCAGGCCTACTGACTGGTGCTGCCGGTGCTGACGTTGTTCATGTCCGTGTTTTCGGGCCCAGAAAGTTTCAAATTATGGTTCTTTCACTCATAAGGGGGGGGGGACACGCAGTAGCGTAGTTTGTTGAGGCATTATGCTACAAGCCGGAAAGTTGCGGTTTCGATTCCCCAGTGAGGTCATTAGATTTTCAATTGGCTTAATCCTTCCAGCCGCGCTGGAAATTAACATAAACAATCCTGAGGGTAAAGGGCGGCCGGTGCGTAAGATTGTCAACTTTACTATCACCAGTGAGCTGACTATCTAGAAAATGTGGGAGCCTCGACTTCTCACAATTCTATGGGCCTCCACTGCCTGTTACAAGGATAGTTTTTTTACTTTTACCACTCATAGTGGAGTATGAGGCAAAAATACAACTTGCAGTAATCAACACACTACTAAGAATTCCAA